ACATGAGCTAGTCTCCGTAAAGTGTGATATAAAACAGGACCACTGTCACAGTTCTCGATGTAAGAGATTTCACATGAAAAGTTTTGCTCGTGAACCACTCTCGCAAACTATTTTAAGTAGTATCTATAAGTAGTATTCAATATTACATTCGTCTTTCGGATGAATTCGAGCAACCGCATACGTCAGAATATTTACTTAACAAAGATTTTTAAACTTTGTTGAGTCAAACTGTCCGCTTTTGATTGTTGGGTGTTTGTAATTAGTTTGCTGCTTAATCTGTCAGTAAAAACTCTCAAGTGACCTAGGGCTAATGGGAATCATACCACAGTTAGTTGAAACTACAGTGATAGTACCGCTAGGAATTAAAGGGGATCATTGGTGAGACTAGCCTAACTAATCTTAATAAAGAGTTTGTTCTCAATAAAACCACCGAAACCAGTATGATCCGAACATAAAACTGTATCATTATTTACCGACAAAGAATCTGACTTTAGTCTCTCGCACTGAATATAAATAATTTAATGCCTAAATGTAATTGTAGGAAGGTTTATCCTGTGACCTGATATTTTCTCTTCATTAGTCCCCAAAACACAACATTATACATAACTCACTTGGCACACATCTTTAGTGGTGACCGAGTCCAGACTGACTATACTAATTATTATCCCGTCACCGATTGTGGAAATAAATCCAAAGTTAAGAATGTATTTGAAGCAGGAAGTAGGCGTTAAATCGAGCAGCAACGCGAAAAATAACGTTGCACGCAAGTGTTTTTGACACAGTTAAACAAAACGAGTACAATAATAAATTTTTATTTTTCATCAGTCGCGTTTTCTTAGTATAAGTGTTCCACTACACATCCATGGCTCAGTGGATGTGTCTACCTGGGCCTACACGTACCTATATAAACTTCCAACCTTATATTATTTAAGTTGAATGTAATGAATTCCGGGCTAATATGTTTTTCTATATCCTCAACTTCTTCATCTGTAGATATAATTTTTATAATACTGATCTCCAACGTTATTTATCGTTAAAAAGGCAAGGAATATCGACAATTTCGAAAAATATTATAGTAACGCATGGATAGTTATAAAGTTTACTTGATCCATCATCTGAATTTTTCGAGGTGATATAGAATACCGATTAACGATTAAGGAACTTAGAACAGAAATGTAAAACCTTATTTTCAGTTTAAACTATTCTAAAGTGTCATGTTCATAGCGACTATAGGTTGAGCTTGAATGTCCACATACATGTGAAGGGAATCTTTTCAATCTTATGTTTCACACCTTAATACCTTCAATAGAAACATAATATATGTGAGTTTATTATTGAGGGATATGAATGTGCTGCTACTTAATGTTTGAATTATCATAGTGAGCATAGTAAGGAATGATCTCTTAGAAATAAGAGCGACAAACTTCAAACTACGTATGAAATAAGACAAAGTAGCATATAATAAACTACTAGATTAACAGGACTAAAAGAACAGTGTAGATGTGAGAACACAAGAAACTATCTAAGTTTACTGGAGCTCAGTACATTTCGATTGTCTCGTCAACCGCAATGTATTCGAAATTTCATACCATCACTGTTTTCCGTGATTGTTTATTTCTTATTCTAGTGTTTTTTTAAGTTTTCATAGATTGCTTTCATTATCGAATGGTAATGTATTCTTTGTGTTTACTGAAAGCGAATTCAGTTGTTTAAGGTCGTTGTTTGAGGGAGGTATATTTGGTCCAGGCTGCTGTTGAAACGTGTTTAGAATTATGGTAAGTATGAAGCCATTATCAAGTTTCTTTATTCCAAAATATCATCCCAGTTATTTTAGTAGGTCTTAAATATTTCAAGCATTCTTTCTACCTCATATAAGAAAGGTGTTATGATCACTACCAAAGTATCGGAAAGAATGTAGTTCCAAGATAACTGCAAAAGTTTACTGAGTCCAGGACTTCCACAGATTCATTTTTGTAATACATGGCGTTTTACCTCGACTCAATTGATAACCGAAGACATAAACAGGATGTGTTTTTTGGTTTTTGTAACACCTCTAAAATTCTGTCTGTTCCACAAATATGTAGGCGGTAAAATAGATGTTGCTTGTCTTGATGTTGCATGTTGTCTGTCTCACTATTCATTTCGAAAGTGTGATTTTGTTTTCGTCTCTAATTTCCTCAACATTTAGACCTAGAAGTAGATGTACTCACGTTCACTTATGGAATGAGCAACCTATTCGAATGCTTATAAAGCTACTAAATTTGTAATTACTCCTCAGATAGTGAAGTTTATTGAAGCCATTATTATTTAGATAGTTTATTTAAGAGCAGCAAATCAAAGCTCTGACGGTAGTTTTAGTCCAGTATATTATCGCCTTTCGATCACAATGAAATAATTTATCAAAAACCTCTTGCTATAGTGGATGTGATAGTTGTACAGTATCATTTTTAGTTAACCTTCAACTAAATTTCTAAGCTTCGAACTTTTCGAATTCAGTAAATAACGAGTTCAGTAGATAGTATTTTAGGACATATGGTGGTTGGCTTTTAGCAGACCGCTAACAGCCCACTGATTGAAACCCTCAAATAAACTGATTTCAAAAACAATATAACTAGCCAGTGGAAGTACATTTTGCCTTTATAAATCATATGCTTCAATAAAAATATATAAGAAAGCAAATATGGTTGGATATAATTTAGAAAATAATCGTTTAGATGATACGAATAGTGGTAGCTGCCCGCTCTATAATATAATTATGATCTCGTTGTTAAGCAGAATTTCCCCCCCATCATTTCAAGATCACCTGAATAATTCATCCAAATCCACCTAAGGTTCAATTCTGTCAAAATCAATAAAAATCCCCAGAAATACCATAACCTTTTTCTTGTTTGTTTGTAGTCCTTCAAAAATATTGTGAAATTGATTTCCATTATTATTTTAAGGTAGAAATTTTTCATTTGAAAATGGTCGAAACCAATGAAGTATAAGGTATCACACATGTATTGTTACGTTGGTTAAAAACAGAGTTACAATACTACCTAGATTACCGACTCTGTCTAACCTGGTTGTTCACCTTCACCATACCTGTCCCCAAATGCTCTTCTACGATCGAGAGTGGTGCGTCCACTCTCCCTCTCGATATACTCTCATATAGCCTTGCGTATATAACCACTAACTGTGAAGTCATGCTCACTTCCTCGTGACAGGAATGTTGTTTACGAAAGCCTATGTTCGGCGCTTTGATGGGCTTAGTGGGTATGGAAGGTCTACGTAGGGGATGTGGAAAGTCGTGACTTCAAACCAATAGTGCACTTTGACTGAAGGATCTTGACAAAACTACTGTTGGTCACTGGCTACCATGGGACTGGGTCTTCTGACGTTGCTCCATTGCCTTGTGAATTAGACTATTGGGTCAAAAACCACGTGCTTCGGTTTGGGCATGCGGACAGTATTCCAGCCGACTCACAGATCCAATAATTTATGTGGCGCATAAATATTTAGGTGCCTTTTCGCAAAAATGTATTTTTTGTTTAAATAAGTAAGTTAATAAAACATTAGAAATAGCGAATTACAATATTCACATAGCTTCATATTTCTTGTTATCACTAGCAAGTACCTCAATTTCTACGCTTGATTTCTTTACGCGATTAATTCCTGTTTATGATTTTTTTCAACAGACCATGGGGCTATGCGATGCGTTAAAAGGGAATGTAACCTATGAGACTATAAGAGTAAGTCGATTTTTAGTAGGATTTTATAGCTGTATAGTTTTTTGATAATTATAGTGCTTTGTCCATCTTTTTTTTGATGAAGCGACAATCAATCATTCATTAGCAATCCCACAAAACCCAGAAGCTTCAGTTCTATCTACAAGTCAACATCGATCATCTACGTTATTCAATGTATGTATGAAAACTGTATAATCCTTGATAAAAAATATCTTCTTGTCCATCAATGAGCTCTATGTTAACTAGCTGATGAAATAATTATGAAATATTTCATGATTCATAATGATATCACTTTGATTGACTACTCTGAGAACCTTACCACTTAACGTTTATCCCAACTAGCATCCATATGTTTTGTAGTGGTTAACTGATTTGTACCCACGTCATCGTATTTCCTCTAAATGTCATTCCTAATTTCACTACTAAACTTCACTGTAAACCGTCAAGGGATAAGTAATGTAATATCAAATATGGTTAGACATGAGAAATCACAGATTGTTTACCTACATAACTGAACTCTTAACGAGAATTACTTGTTTACTCAGTATTGGTTTTTATTTTTAAATCTCCTTGATAGTTTAATTGCATTAAAGTTCATCAAATTGACGTTTGACTAACAACATTATCATTTCTTGAATAAGAATAAATTGCCTATTTTCAAAAATATAATTCATTTAACTATTAATCAAGTTACTCTAATACAATTGAATCAGTTGATCAAATCACTTCTACTAATTGTATATCTTTTGTTTTTCATTTTATTTAGCCCTATGTTATTTTATGTTTACCAAATGATTCATTAACTTCGGAATCATATATTGCTGAGTTAGAGTTTGCATCCGCCTACTTAGATTGTACCTATTTTATTCTACGTGTTATTAATACTGAATTGTTACAGATAAAGCAGTCGGCTAAAGTGCAGGTTAGTTTGTAAGTTAACTCGTGGAATTCATGAATTTTTCGTTTAAATTAACTTTATATAGGCTTTAGGACTAATATACCTTATGCTAGTTATATGCTATTTCATTGGAATTTGTCCATGCTGAGTTATACTCCGGGTCGTAAGTACAATCATTTTTCGTACATTAGGGAATATACTTCTTAAATAATGTTGCTAAGGTGGTGTCATAAGAATTTAAACGCAGTGTGTGGACTTTTATTGAGTGGTCGAAGTTATTTAACAATTTAACAATTTTCTTAATATGTATTATTTACTCACTCTTAGAATAGATAAAAGTAGAAAATACATGTTAAGTTTCATGAGATATAAAATGATTATGACTCATTATTATCTGCTTGTAAATCACAACTATGTTCAAACGTCTAGAGTTCATACGGCTTATTAGTTTACTATACTATTAGTTCCTACAGGATTGAAGGCATACCTCACTGACCAGTACCAAGTAACACGAAACCTAGGTTCAGTGTTTCATCCCGACAATATTCAACCACCTAATATCTCAATATATTGTACACGATGGCGACTATACCGTATGAAGAGCACCTATTCTTATCCGATGACGAATTACTTAAACTAGTGACGACGTTGTAACTTGATTGATGAGATTCAATCAGTACTAAAGGACTATACAAAAATGACACTGGTTACTACCGAATAAGCAACCATTTGTAATTTAAAACTATTAGTAATAACTGATATATCAGGATTAATGACTTTCTCACTGTATTTCTTCATGAACAAAAGTCACCCGTCATTGTGTTTTTATGTAAATGTTCCTTATCTTGTTATTATTACGCTTATTCTTTTTATACAACTATTTGACTCATTTTTGTAAATGTTCACCCATTTCTTTGCGTGCTCAAATCTTAATACACTTTCTACTCTCCGTATAAAATATTAAATAATCACCATAATTTTCGAAATAATATCTGCTTCATTTTTTTTTCTATCCCATGTTATTCAAATAAGTCCGAAAATTTTTACAGAAATGTATTATCCATATTTGATTTATTGTTGAAACCTGAGAAAAAAACCGTCTGGATTTCTAGGTGAATTACCAAAATGTAAGTAGTTCTATTTTTTTTCTAACAAAATGTTGTTGATAATTGAGTTAATGATTCACAGTGATGTGATTGCTAATATAATAAATCCATTTACGATTGCCATCCAGTACTGATAGTAAATTGTGTGTACATCTGCTGGGGACGTTAGATCCCCAGAACTCACTTAGAAAAGGTCCTGTTTTAGTAATTTATTTCTGAAATTTCGAATTTCTATGTTTTCGCGCCAAGAGACGCTTAGTTGACCTACAGCTTACATTTCCCACCCGGAAATCCTTGACTATCATCAGTTGATGGATTAGTTTAGTACGCGACTTTGTGGCTCTCCTACGGGCGTCTCTGCCATTGTATAAATAAGCTTGATTTGTGTGCTTAACTACCTTGTATTTTATGGGTGCTTGAAGAATCAATACTTCTTGATCTAGTTGGCCCCAGCTGGGACAAACAAAGCAGTATAGCCTATCGTGTCACTGAGTCATTAATTTCGTTCCGTCTACCGAGTAAGGTGAACTTGTAATACCATTCAAGCGCATCGATTGACGAGCATATCAACATCAAAATTTCGATCATTAGCAAATGTTTAAACCAATCGTTATGGTTGTGACGAAACTGTATAGTAATCACATTTTTTTTTAAATCACTGTCTGGTTTACTCCTGAGTGATATTTAATGAAAATAACAATCATTCCATTGAATATTATCACTCTAAATAATTTATGATGTATTAATTGATTGTATTAAGTCAATACTTTGCCAATCAATGGTATACATATCTCATTATTGTAGCGAAAAGCGATTTATCTCGACATTCGAAATATTCTCATCTACGTCATTATTTCACTCAAGTATGGATATCTTTTCTAAACAATGAAGTAAGTTTCACTCTATTTATTGATACATTATAATTGTTTTTTTTGCTAATCATCGTTAATTTGCAAAGGCACAATGAAATTGGTAGAAGTTTAACTGATTTGTCTGAATGATTGACTTACAAACGAACTATGTAAAGCATCAAATGTCTTTTTAATGTCATAACATTATTTACTCATTTTTCCACTTGAACTTACAGAACATCGTTAGACATTCTACGACTTCCTTCTTTATCACCAAACCTAAATACAACAAATCTCTAATATTGGTGTAATTGATCTACGAAATTCGAGCTATGAACTGTATATATGTGTAGAAGCTGGTGATAATTTATTGTTATTCAATCTAAAATATTTCAAAAGGGTTCGAAACTGTAACCTAAATGCTAAATGTCACACTTATCAAGCTTCAAGCTACTTACATTGATTTACACAATCCTTGTAACTTTTATACGTTGTTTTTTTTCATAACAGTATTTATCACTTTCATTATTCTTTTCTATTCGCCTGTGTTCTAGTTATCAGATGATGTACGTTTAGAATCTATACGATATTTGGGTAATGAGGGCATGAATCGTTTAGCTGAAATTCGCTTATTAGCTGATCATATTATACCAATTTTTGATCCTAATCCAGAGGATAAATTATCTGAAATAGAATTAGCAAAATTTCCAACTAGTTGGTCTCGTGCAGTTTGTCATGCAGTACTTGGTTTACTTCAAAAAGGTGATCTTAATTATCCACGTCTATATATACGATTGTATCGTTTATTGGATGAAACGTTGTTTGAATGTCCAGATGTTAAACCATTTCTAATTGATTTAGATATTTATTTAAGCTCCATGTAAGTGTTCATCTCTGAGTATTCTGTTAATATCGAATCGATTTTAATTTGACTGAATTATTGTGCATACTTTTAACTTTATATCTGTTAAATTCTCAATTATAACTCGTGATTGATTAACAAATATCAGCAGTCTTAATAGAACGTGTTCTTCTGAAAGATTTGAACTCACTACCCACTCCTATTGTCAAAAACATGACCACCAAGCGATTTAGGCAGCGACTAATCACCTGTAGAACTGAAATTTTAATTTTTAACGATGATATCATATATTTACAAATTGTCATCTAAAAGGCAATGATTTAATTTACTTGTTCGAAAAAGTGTAATTTTTAGGGAGAATTCAATAATAATGATTGCCTTATTCAATCACACACATTTGGTTATAGCGAGAAATCCTTAGTACATAATATGTGATATTGTTAATGAAACACTGCTGAGTGACTGCCTTCAATATATATGTTTTCGATCTATGAATTTCAATGGAATAATCTTTCGTTTATCCAAAGAACAAACACAAAGTGAAGTATATCAACCAACCGCTCATAATCAACATAAAACCCGACACAAATGCACATCAAATGAACTTGGCTTATCAACTCAGCATAACGAGGAAAAATTAACCAGATGAGTAGCAAAGGAATGTAAATAATAAAAATAATAAGACTGATCATTGAAGAATACAGTTCGAAAAGAACTTATAAATTTCGCGAAAAAAAAATTACAAAATACTATCAAAGTTGAAGACGGAGAAAGACAAAGAGTAAATTCATATATGCCACCGATCGATGTTAGTCATCGTCTCCAACCACCGATCGTGATTATCGTACAGACTGTGGTCACATAGTCTGCACCTATTAAGATGGCTCAGCCCAACAGTCAATGATTTCATGGTCTCTGTAGTTTTATTTAACCCTATTCTCGCATCAACAGACATCGCATACTCAGATAAGTGGCGGTTAAACATACGTAAAACATATTCTATTCACCTTAGTAGACGTAGATTCAGTCTCATCAACTGAGTTGTCTTCCTCACTTGGTATCCCGTGCCTACCCCCATCAGTGCTCACTTAGTTGTTTTACCATAGTTGAACGACAGTCCAACGACACTTACCCTCAAATATTTGCAATCTAACTGTATATTTCACTCTCAAAGCTCATGTTCCACAGGCATAGAGTAATACAGAGTATACTGTTGCTTATTATACTTGCCTCTCAGTTAAAAGATGGACATCTCAGCTACACCACATGCGATGCAAGTTTGCATAAGCCAGGCATGCTTTTTGAATCTGTGTCAAGATTTCATCAAACACTCACTCATAAGGATTAATAAGAATTCCTTGAATACCTTGAATATCAAGTTCCCTGCACAATGTCTTCTTCCTGTGCTCTCTGTCGTGTTTTGATGTATCATGTGAAAATAATCGTTGTTGATTTCAAAAAGAATCAATCATATTAGAGTAGCTTAATCGTTTATCCCTTAGCTCGTAGGTGTTTTAGGCTTGTACTAAACCCAAATAAAGAGATACAACAAATACTTATACGTATTAGTTGTTTATCCCGACCGAAGCTGCTACCTTGACGTGGTGGTCGGGCTTGCCTATCGTGATGACCCAACCGAGCTATACTGGCTGGAACACATGTTCCTGCAGGTCCTACCGTGCCAGGCAGGTCGATTGGAGAACGATGAGACTAAAAGCAGCTACTCAAGGTCTGAGGGCGAAGTCGTACTGCTGACTGCAGAGGGGTGTGACAGCAGTAAGGTGTTTCCCTCGGACAACCAGCATCTGCAGCGATGCTGCCTTCTCACAAGGAAGGAAGGGTTAGAAAAGGTCGGCCCTAAAAATGTCACACCTCCCCTACCTCACGGATTTCCGTCTCCTTGGGTTAGGGTGCCCACTAAGAGCTAATCCTCAAACAACGTTTCATAAAAAGGCCGTGCGTGACCGGCCTGAAGCAGTTGTCCCTTGGACTCTGCGGTCACGCACCAACACTAATCCATCTTCCTTTTCAGGTTCGTCAAGAAACAACCTTCCACGGTGTGGGCAGCTGGGAAGTGATAACCGCCCTCATACCCGCAACAGCACACAAGACCAAATTGTTCAAAACCAAATCCTTCCTACCTTCCCTAATACCTCTCTTATCTCCACAACTAACTCTTCTCACATTCATTTATTACAGTGCACAGCTAATGCAAACGATGCGAGTTTGCGAAACGTCGTTCCTGGTCTCCTTAAACCCCGTTCCAAACTACATGTTGGAGCATTCAATGTACGGACATTGTGACAAATAGGGCAACAGGCGTCATTAGCTAGGACTTTAGAATCTCGTTCCATCGATGTGTGCTGCGTCTCGGAAACGCGCATACAGGATCCGAGTAGCATCACTCATTTGACCTCACCATGTCAAGATAAAGAAGCAGCTCGATTTACCCTTCGTGTATCCGGTAGCCCTGATGCTGCTTCTAGGGGCCTCGCCGGTGTAGGTATAGCATTGAGTCGTAGGGCAGAACAATCTCTCCTTGACTGGATCCCTGTAGATAGTCGCTTGTGCGCCGTCCGACTGAACGGGACAGTAAGGACTCGGAAAGATAGGGACACTCGCCGTTGCCTCTTCGTCATATCAGCCTACGCCCCCACTGACTGCAGCCCAGATGATGTAAAAGATGAGTTTTACAGAAAGCTTTCGGACCTCCTCCAAAAAGTTAAGCTCTCTGATATAGTTATAATGGCTGGTGACTTCAATGCACAAGTAGGTAGACTAAGTGAAAATGAAAGACACCTAGGTGGATGTTACGGTCTCGCGGCTCAAAGAACAGACAATGGCGACCGTCTGTTGCAACTGTGCTCAGATAACCAACTATTTCTAGCAAACACTAATTTTAAGCATAAGGAAAAACATCTTTTCACCTGGCGACCCCCGAAGTCGTCTCAACGTTTGACAAATCACTAGATCATATCGCCATCAGCCACCGATGGAGCGGTTCGATAGAGGACTGTCGCTCGTTCTGGGGCACATGTTTAGATTCAGATCATGCCCTAGTGCGAGCACGTATTTGTTTGAGCCTGCTTGCTGGACGTAGGAAAGACACCGTAAGGAAGCCTCTTACGGCTTTACTTGATGATAATCAAGCTAAGAAAATATTTCAGGAGGAACTAGAAAAACAGTTAGGCGACCATGCAAGTGATTCCCATCCTGAAGCAGGTTGGAATCATATCAAGAAGGCTGTGCAAACAGCAATGGTATCTGCTAGCAAGGTAAACCACAAGGCTAGGATGAAGCAGTGGATCTCAGTCGCATCCACCCAACTGATGGATGCTCGAAAACGCATCCCACCTGACTCAACATGATGAAGAGCGTAGTCAGCTTAGGCACAGACTCATAAAAAGCCTACGTAACGACCGTGAACAGTGGTGGGTGGCGTAAGCAAAAGCGATGGAAAAGGCAGCGGCGATAGGCAACACTAGACAACTTTTCCGCCTTATCAAGGGAACCGGTATTAGGAACCCGAATGTAAGTGAGACTATCTCGGAAAAGGATGGTCTTATTATCCATTCTCAATCTAGGAGGCTGGACCGATGGGCAGAACACTTTAGGGACCAGTTCAACTGGCCTCGAGCCACACTACGGTTGCCCACGATCCCCAGTCATCCTGAATGGCAAATGACGTGGGCAGCCATAGCCTTAATGAAATTGAAAAAGCGTTAGGAAATGTGAAGCCAGGGCGAGCTGCGGGTCCTGATACACTGACCCCTGAGATATTTAAGGATGGTGGTCCAGTTTTAGCAACTAGGTTGACCGAGATCTTAGGTAGAATCTCGGTCAACCTAGTTGCTAAAACTGGACCACCATCCTTAAATATCTCAGGGGTCAGTGTATCAGGACCCGCAGCTCGCCCTGGCTTCACATTTCCTAACGCTTTTTCCATTTCATTAAGACTATGGGGCTTACGTCATTTGCCATTCAGGATGACTGGGGATCGTGGGCAACCGTAGTGTGGCTCGAGGCCAGTTGAACTGGTCCCTAAAGTGTTCTGCCCATCGGTCCAGCCTCCTAGATTGAGAATGGATAATAAGACCATCCTTTTCCGAGATAGTCTCACTTACATTCGGGTTCCTAATACCGGTTCCCTTGATAAGGCGGAAAAGTTGTCTAGTGTTGCCTATCGCCGCTGCCTTTTCCATCGCTTTTGCTTACGCCACCCACCACTGTTCACGGTCGTTACGTAGGCTTTTTATGAGTCTGTGCCTAAGCTGACTACGCTCTTCATCATGTTGAGTCAGGTGGGATGCGTTTTCGAGCATCCATCAGTTGGGTGGATGCGACTGAGATCCACTGCTTCATCCTAGCCTTGTGGTTTACCTTGCTAGCAGATACCATTGCTGTTTGCACAGCCTTCTTGATATGATTCCAACCTGCTTCAGGATGGGAATCACTTGCATGGTCGCCTAACTGTTTTTCTAGTTCCTCCTGAAATATTTTCTTAGCTTGATTATCATCAAGTAAAGCCGTAAGAGGCTTCCTTACGGTGTCTTTCCTACGTCCAGCAAGCAGGCTCAAACAAATACGTGCTCGCACTAGGGCATGATCTGAATCTAAACATGTGCCCCAGAACGAGCGACAGTCCTCTATCGAACCGCTCCATCGGTGGCTGATGGCGATATGATCTAGTGGTTTGTCCAACGTTGAGACGACTTCGGGGGTCGCCAGGTCAAAAGATGTTTTTCCTTATGCTTCAAATTAGTGTTTGCTAGAAATAGTTGGTTATCTGAGCACAGTTGCAACAGACGGTCGCCATTGTCTGTTCTTTGAGCCGCGACACCATAACATCCACCTAGGTGTCTTTCATTTTCACTTAGTCTACCTACTTGTGCATTGAAGTCACCAGCCATTATAACTATATCAGAGCGCTTAACTTTTTGGAGAAGGTCCGAAAGCTTTCTGTAAAAGTCATCTTTTACATCATCTGGGCTGCAGTCAGTGGGGGCGTAGGCTGATATGACGAAGAGGCAACAACCAGTGTCCCTATCTTTCCGAGCCCTTACTGTCCCGTTCAGTCGGACGGCGCACAAGCGACTATCTACAGGGATCCAGTCAAGGAGAGATTGTTCTGCCCTACGACTCAATGCTATACCTACACCGGCGAGGCCCCTAGAAGCAGCATCAGGGCTACCGGATACACCAAGGGTAAATCGAGCTGCTTCTTTATCTTGACATGGTCAGGTCAAATGAGTGATGCTACTGGGATCCTGTATGCGCGTTTCCGAGACGCAGCACACTTCGATGGCACGAGATTCTAAAGTCCTAGCTAATGATGCCTGTTGCCCTATTTGACAGTCAGATGGGATTACGTCCAGTTCCCAGATTCTACCTAAGATCTCGGTCAACCTAGTTGCTAAAACTGGACCCAATATGCATACATTGAATGCCTCAACGTGTAATTTGGAACGGGGTTTAAGGGACCAGGAACGGCGTTTCGCTTACTCGCATCGTTTGCATTATCTGTGCACTGTGATATATGAATGTGAGTGGAGTTATTCGTGGAGATAAGAGAGGCATTAGGGAATGCAGGATGGATTTGATTTTGAGCAATTTGATCTCGTGTGTTGTTGCGGGTATGAGGGCGGTTATCACTTCCTGGCTTCCCACACCGTGGAAGGTTGTTTCTTGTGGGACCTGAAAAGGAAGATAGAGTAGTGTTGGTCTCGGAGACCCTGTTGCGTGACCGCAGAGCATAATGGACAACTGCTTGAGGCCGGTCATGCACGGCATTTTCATGAAACGTTTTTTGAGGATTAGCTCCGTTCTTAAAGGCCCTTAGTGGGCACCCTTACCCAAGGAGACGGAAATCCGTGAGTTAGGGGAGGTGTGACATTTTTAGGGACGACCTTTTCTAACTTTTCCTTCCTTGTGAGAAGGCAGCATCGCTGCATATGCTGGTTGTCCGAGGGAAACACTTTACTGCTGTCACACCCCTCTGCAGTCAGCAGTACGACTTCGCCCTCAGACCTTGGGTAGCTCCTTTTAGTCTCATCGTTCTCCGATCGACCTGCCTGGCATAGTAGAACCTTCAGGAACATATGTTCCAGCCAGTATAGCTCGGGTGGGTCATCACGATAGGCAAGCCCGACCACCACGTCAAGGTAGCAGCTCCGGTCGGGATAAACAACTAATACGTATAAGTATTTGTTGTATCTCTTTATTTGGGTTTAGTACAAGCCTAAAACACCTACGAGCTAAGGGATAAACGATTAAGCTACTCTAATATGATTGATTCTTTTTGAAATCAACAACGATTATTTTCACATGATACATCAAAACACGACAGAGAGCACAGGAAGAAGACATTGTGCAGGGAACTTGATATTCAAGGTATTCAAGGAATTCTTATTAATCCTTATGAGTGAGTGTTTGATGAAATCTTGACACAGATTCAAAAAGCATGCCTGGCTTATGCAAACTTGCATCGCATGTGGTGTAGCTGAGATGTCCATCTTTTAACTGAGAGGCAAGTATAATAAGCAACAGTATACTCTGTATTACTCTATGCCTGTGGAACATGAGCTTTGAGAGTGAAATATACAGTTAGATTGCAAATATTTGAGGGTAAGTGTCGTTGGACTGTCGTTCAACTATGGTAAAACAACTAAGTGAGCACTGATGGGGGTAGGCACGGGATACCAAGTGAGGAAGACAACTCAGTTGATGAGACTGAATCTACGTCTACTAAGGTGAATAGAATATGTTTTACGTATGTTTAACCGCCACTTATCTGAGTATGCGATGTCTGTTGATGCGAGAATAGGGTTAAATAAAACTACAGAGACCATGAAATCATTGACTGTTGGGCTGAGCCATCTTAATAGGTGCAGACTATGTGACCACAGTCTGTACGATAATCACGATCGGTGGTTGGAGACGATGACTAACATCGATCGGTGGCATATATGAATTTACTCTTTGTCTTTCTCCGTCTTCAACTTTGATAGTATTTTGTAATTTTTTTTTCGCGAAATTTATAAGTTCTTTTCGAACTGTATTCTTCAATGATCAGTCTTATTATTTTTATTATTTACATTCCTTTGCTACTCATCTGGTTAATTTTTCCTCGTTATGCTGAGTTGATAAGCCAAGTTCATTTGATGTGCATTTGTGTCGGGTTTTATGTTGATTATGAGCGGTTGGTTGATATACTTCACTTTGTGTTTGTTCTTTGGATAAACGAAAGATTATTCCATTGAAATTCATAGATCGAAAACATATATATTGAAGGCAGTCACTCAGCAGTGTTTCATTAACAATATCACATATTATGTACTAAGGATTTCTCGCTATAACCAAATGTGTGTGATTGAATAAGGCAATCATTATTATTGAATTCTCCCTAAAAATTACACTTTTTCGAACAAGTAAATTAAATCATTGCCTTTTAGATGACAATTTGTAAATATATGATATCATCGTTAAAAATTAAAATTTCAGTTCTACAGGTGATTAGTCGCTGCCTAAATCGCTTGGTGGTCATGTTTTTGACAATAGGAGTGGGTAGTGAGTTCAAATCTTTCAGAAGAACACGTTCTATTAAGACTGCTGATATTTGTTAATCAATCACGAGTTATAATTGAGAATTTAACAGATATAAAGTTAAAAGTATGCACAATAATTCAGTCAAATTAAAATCGATTCGATATTAACAGAATACTCAGAGATGAACACTTACATGGAGCTTAAATAAATATCTAAATCAATTAGAAATGGTTTAACATCTGGACATTCAAACAACGTTTCATCCAATAAACGATACAATCGTATATATAGACGTGGATAATTAAGATCACCTTTTTGAAGTAAACCAAGTACTGCATGACAAACTGCACGAGACCAACTAGTTGGAAATTTTGCTAATTCTATTTCAGATAATTTATCCTCTGGATTAGGATCAAAAATTGGTATAATATGATCAGCTAATAAGCGAATTTCAGCTAAACGATTCATGCCCTCATTACCCAAATATCGTATAGATTCTAAACGTACATCATCTGATAACTAGAACACAGGCGAATAGAAAAGAATAATGAAAGTGATAAATACTGTTATGAAAAAAAACAACGTATAAAAGTTACAAGGATTGTGTAAATCAATGTAAGTAGCTTGAAGCTTGATAAGTGTGACATTTAGCATTTAGGTTACAGTTTCGAACCCTTTTGAAATATTTTAGATTGAATAACAATAAATTATCACCAGCTTCTACACATATATACAGTTCATAGCTCGAATTTCGTAGATCAATTACACCAATATTAGAGATTTGTTGTATTTAGGTTTGGTGATAAAGAAGGAAGTCGTAGAATGTCTAACGATGTTCTGTAAGTTCAAGTGGAAAAATGAGTAAATAATGTTATGACATTAAAAAGACATTTGATGCTTTACATAGTTCGTTTGTAAGTCAATCATTCAGACAAATCAGTTAAACTTCTACCAATTTCATTGTGCCTTTGCAAATTAACGATGATTAGCAAAAAAAACAATTATAATGTATCAATAAATAGAGTGAAACTTACTTCATTGTTTAGAAAAGATATCCATACTTGAGTGAAATAATGACGTAGATGAGAATATTTCGAATGTCGAGATAAATCGCTTTTCGCTACAATAATGAGATATGTATACCATTGATTGGCAAAGTATTGACTTAATACAATCAATTAATACATCATAAATTATTTAGAGTGATAATATTCAATGGAATGATTGTTATTTTCATTAAATATCACTCAGGAGTAAACCAGACAGTGATTTAAAAAAAAATGTGATTACTATACAGTTTCGTCACAACCATAACGATTGGTTTAAACATTTGCTAATGATCGAAATTTTGATGTTGATATGCTCGTCAATCGATGCGCTTGAATGGTATTACAAGTTCACCTTACTCGGTAGACGGAACGAAATTAATGACTCAGTGACACGATAGGCTATACTGCTTTGTTTGTCCCAGCTGGGGCCAACTAGATCAAGAAGTATTGATTCTTCAAGCACCCATAAAATACAAGGTAGCTAAGCACACAAATCAAGCTTATTTATACAATGATAGGGATGCCCTTGGGAGAGCCACAAAACAGCGTACTAAAATAATCCACCAACCAATGATAGTCAAGGATTTCCGGGTGGGAAATGTAAGGTGTAGGTCAACTAAGCGTCTCTTGGCGCGAAGACATAGAAATTCAAAATATCAGAAACAAATTGAAAAATTAGGACCTTTTCTAAGTGAGTTCTGGGGATCTAACGTCCCCAGCAGATGTACACACAATTTACTATCAGTACTGGATGGCAATCGTAAATGGATTTATTATATTAGCAATCACATCACTGTGAATCATTAACTCAATTATCAACAACATTTTGTTAGAAAAAAAATAGAACTACTTACATTTTGGTAATTCACCTAGAAATCCAGACGGTTTTTTCTCAGGTTTCAACAATAAATCAAATATGGATAATACATTTCTGTAAAAATTTTCGGACTTATTTGAATAACATGGGATAGAAAAAAAAATGAAGCAGATATTATTTCGAAAATTATGGTGATTATTTAATATTTTATACGGAGAGTAGAAAGTGTATTAAGATTTGAGCACGCAAAGAAATGGGTGAACATTTACAAAAATGAGTCAAATAGTTGTATAAAAAGAATAAGCGTAATAATAACAAGATAAGGAACATTTACATAAAAACACAATGACGGGTGACTTTTGTTCATGAAGAAATACAGTGAGAAAGTCATTAATCCTGATATATCAGTTATTACTAATAGTTTTAAATTACAAATGGTTGCTTATTCGGTAGTAACCAGTGTCATTTTTGTATAGTCCTTTAGTACTGATTGAATCTCATCAATCAAGTTACAACGTCGTCACTAGTTTAAGTAATTCGTCATCGGATAAGAATAGGTGCTCTTCATACGGTATAGTCGCCATCGTGTACAATATATTGAGATATTAGGTGGTTGAATATTGTCGGGATGAAACACTGAACCTAGGTTTCGTGTTACTTGGTACTGGTCAGTGAGGTATGCCTTCAATCCTGTAGGAACTAATAGTATAGTAAACTAATAAGCCGTATGAACTCTAGACGTTTGAACATAGTTGTGATTTACAAGCAGATAATAATGAGTCATAATCATTTTATATCTCATGAAACTTAACATGTATTTTCTACTTTTATCTATTCTAAGAGTGAGTAAATAATACATATTAAGAAAATTGTTAAATTGTTAAATAACTTCGACCACTCAATAAAAGTCCACACACTGCGTTTAAATTCTTATGACACCACCTTAGCAACATTATTTAAGAAGTATATTCCCTAATGTACGAAAAATGATTGTACTTACGACCCGGAGTATAACTCAGCATGGACAAATTCCAATGAAATAGCATATAACTAGCATAAGGTATATTAGTCCTAAAGCCTATATAAAGTTAATTTAAACGAAAAATTCATGAATTCCACGAGTTAACTTACAAACTAACCTGCACTTTAGCCGACTGCTTTATCTGTAACAATTCAGTATTAATAACACGTAGAATAAAATAGGTACAATCTAAGTAGGCGGATGCAAACTCTAACTCAGCAATATATGATTCCGAAGTTAATGAATCATTTGGTAAACATAAAATAACATAGGGCTAAATAAAATGAAAAACAAAAGATATACAATTAGTAGAAGTGATTTGATCAACTGATTCAATTGTATTAGAGTAACTTGATTAATAGTTAAATGAATTATATTTTTGAAAATAGGCAATTTATTCTTATTCAAGAAATGATAATGTTGTTAGTCAAACGTCAATTTGATGAACTTTAATGCAATTAAACTATCAAGGAGATTTAAAAATAAAAACCAATACTGAGTAAACAAGTAATTCTCGTTAAGAGTTCAGTTATGTAGGTAAACAATCTGTGATTTCTCATGTCTAACCATATTTGATATTACATTACTTATCCCTTGACGGTTTACAGTGAAGTTTAGTAGTGAAATTAGGAATGACATTTAGAGGAAATACGATGACGTGGGTACAAATCAGTTAACCACTACAAAACATATGGATGCTAGTTGGGATAAACGTTAAGTGGTAAGGTTCTCAGAGTAGTCAATCAAAGTGATATCATTATGAATCATGAAATATTTCATAATTATTTCATCAGCTAGTTAACATAGAGCTCATTGATGGACAAGAAGATATTTTTTATCAAGGATTATACAGTTTTCATACATACATTGAATAACGTAGATGATCGATGTTGACTTGTAGATAGAACTGAAGCTTCTGGGTTTTGTGGGATTGCTAATGAATGATTGATTGTCGCTTCATCAAAAAAAAGATGGACAAAGCACTATAATTATCAAAAAACTATACAGCTATAAAATCCTACTAAAAATCGACTTACTCTTATAGTCTCATAGGTTACATTCCCTTTTAACGCATCGCATAGCCCCATGGTCTGTTGAAAAAAATCATAAACAGGAATTAATCGCGTAAAGAAATCAAGCGTAGAAATTGAGGTACTTGCTAGTGATAACAAGAAATATGAAGCTATGTGAATATTGTAATTCGCTATTTCTAATGTTTTATTAACTTACTTATTTAAACAAAAAATACATTTTTGCGAAAAGGCACCTAAATATTTATGCGCCACATAAATTATTGGATCTGTGAGTCGGCTGGAATACTGTCCGCATGCCCAAACCGAAGCACGTGGTTTTTGACCCAATAGTCTAATTCACAAGGCAATGGAGCAACGTCAGAAGACCCAGTCCCATGGTAGCCAGTGACCAACAGTAGTTTTGTCAAGATCCTTCAGTCAAAGTGCACTATTGGTTTGAAGTCACGACTTTCCACATCCCCTACGTAGACCTTCCATACCCACTAAGCCCATCAAAGCGCCGAACATAGGCTTTCGTAAACAACATTCCTGTCACGAGGAAGTGAGCATGACTTCACAGTTAGTGGTTATATACGCAAGGCTATATGAGAGTATATCGAGAGGGAGAGTGGACGCACCACTCTCGATCGTAGAAGAGCATTTGGGGACAGGTATGGTGAAGGTGAACAACCAGGTTAGACAGAGTCGGTAATCTAGGTAGTATTGTAACTCTGTTTTTAACCAACGTAACAATACATGTGTGATACCTTATACTTCATTGGTTTCGACCATTTTCAAATGAAAAATTTCTACCTTAAAATAATAATGGAAATCAATTTCACAATATTTTTGAAGGACTACAAACAAACAAGAAAAAGGTTATGGTATTTCTGGGGATTTTTATTGATTTTGACAGAATTGAACCTTAGGTGGATTTGGATGAATTATTCAGGTGATCTTGAAATGATGGGGGGGAAATTCTGCTTAACAACGAGATCATAATTATATTATAGAGCGGGCAGCTACCACTATTCGTATCATCTAAACGATTATTTTCTAAATTATATCCAACCATATTTGCTTTCTTATATATTTTTATTGAAGCATATGATTTATAAAGGCAAAATGTACTTCCACTGGCTAGTTATATTGTTTTTGAAATCAGTTTATTTGAGGGTTTCAATCAGTGGGCTGTTAGCGGTCTGCTAAAAGCCAACCACCATATGTCCTAAAATACTATCTACTGAACTCGTTATTTACTGAATTCGAAAAGTTCGAAGCTTAGAAATTTAGTTGAAGGTTAACTAAAAATGATACTGTACAACTATCACATCCACTATAGCAAGAGGTTTTTGATAAATTATTTCATTGTGATCGAAAGGCGATAATATACTGGACTAAAACTACCGTCAGAGCTTTGATTTGCTGCTCTTAAATAAACTATCTAAATAATAATGGCTTCAATAAACTTCACTATCTGAGGAGTAATTACAAATTTAGTAGCTTTATAAGCATTCGAATAGGTTGCTCATTCCATAAGTGAACGTGAGTACATCTACTTCTAGGTCTAAATGTTGAGGAAATTAGAGACGAAAACAAAATCACACTTTCGAAATGAATAGTGAGACAGACAACATGCAACATCAAGACAAGCAACATCTATTTTACCGCCTACATATTTGTGGAACAGACAGAATTTTAGAGGTGTTACAAAAACCAAAAAACACATCCTGTTTATGTCTTCGGTTATCAATTGAGTCAAGGTAAAACGCCATGTATTACAAAAATGAATCTGTGGAAGTCCTGGACTCAGTAAACTTTTGCAGTTATCTTGGAACTACATTCTTTCCGATACTTTGGTAGTGATCATAACACCTTTCTTATATGAGGTAGAAAGAATGCTTGAAATATTTAAGACCTACTAAAATAACTGGGATGATATTTTGGAATAAAGAAACTTGATAATGGCTTCATACTTACCATAATTCTAAACACGTTTCAACAGCAGCCTGGACCAAATATACCTCCCTCAAACAACGACCTTAAACAACTGAATTCGCTTTCAGTAAACACAAAGAATACATTACCATTCGATAATGAAAGCAATCTATGAAAACTTAAAAAAACACTAGAATAAGAAATAAACAATCACGGAAAACAGTGATGGTATGAAATTTCGAATACATTGCGGTTGACGAGACAATCGAAATGTACTGAGCTCCAGTAAACTTAGATAGTTTCTTGTGTTCTCACATCTACACTGTTCTTTTAGTCCTGTTAATCTAGTAGTTTATTATATGCTACTTTGTCTTATTTCATACGTAGTTTGAAGTTTGTCGCTCTTATTTCTAAGAGATCATTCCTTACTATGCTCACTATGATAATTCAAACATTAAGTAGCAGCACATTCATATCCCTCAATAATAAACTCACATATATTATGTTTCTATTGAAGGTATTAAGGTGTGAAACATAAGATTGAAAAGATTCCCTTCACATGTATGTGGACATTCAAGCTCAACCTATAGTCGCTATGAACATGACACTTTAGAATAGTTTAAACTGAAAATAAGGTTTTACATTTCTGTTCTAAGTTCCTTAATCGTTAATCGGTATTCTATATCACCTCGAAAAATTCAGATGATGGATCAAGTAAACTTTATAACTATCCATGCGTTACTATAATATTTTTCGAAATTGTCGATATTCCTTGCCTTTTTAACGATAAATAACGTTGGAGATCAGTATTATAAAAATTATATCTACAGATGAAGAAGTTGAGGATATAGAAAAACATATTAGCCCGGAATTCATTACATTCAACTTAAATAATATAAGGTTGGAAGTTTATATAGGTACGTGTAGGCCCAGGTAGACACATCCACTGAGCCATGGATGTGTAGTGGAACACTTATACTAAGAAAACGCGACTGATGAAAAATAAAAATTTATTATTGTACTCGTTTTGTTTAACTGTGTCAAAAACACTTGCGTGCAACGTTATTTTTCGCGTTGCTGCTCGATTTAACGCCTACTTCCTGCTTCAAATACATTCTTAACTTTGGATTTATTTCCACAATCGGTGACGGGATAATAATTAGTATAGTCAGTCTGGACTCGGTCACCACTAAAGATGTGTGCCAAGTGAGTTATGTATAATGTTGTGTTTTGGGGACTAATGAAGAGAAAATATCAGGTCACAGGATAAACCTTCCTACAATTACATTTAGGCATTAAATTATTTATATTCAGTGCGAGAGACTAAAGTCAGATTCTTTGTCGGTAAATAATGATACAGTTTTATGTTCGGATCATACTGGTTTCGGTGGTTTTATTGAGAACAAACTCTTTATTAAGATTAGTTAGGCTAGTCTCACCAATGATCCCCTTTAATTCCTAGCGGTACTATCACTGTAGTTTCAACTAACTGTGGTATGATTCCCATTAGCCCTAGGTCACTTGAGAGTTTTTACTGACAGATTAAGCAGCAAACTAATTACAAACACCCAACAATCAAAAGCGGACAGTTTGACTCAACAAAGTTTAAAAATCTTTGTTAAGTAAATATTCTGACGTATGCGGTTGCTCGAATTCATCCGAAAGACGAATGTAATATTGAATACTACTTATAGATACTACTTAAAATAGTTTGCGAGAGTGGTTCACGAGCAAAACTTTTCATGTGAAATCTCTTACATCGAGAACTGTGACAGTGGTCCTGTTTTATATCACACTTTACGGAGACTAGCTCATGTATGTTCGGGAAGACTTGAGGTCCTGTAGTTATGATGTATCATATTACATTTGTCGACTCTTTGAGGTCCAGGAAATGATATAACATTCGTTAAAAGTACTAGTCGATGGCATGTTTTTCGACTCAGGCAAAGACGACATTGGGTAGGTTGACAAGTCGCGGTATGTAAAATAATATGTGTAATATATTATTTGTGTTGAATAAACTTCCTTATATCATTGAACACAACCACTTTTAGTGACAGAAGACATTTTTTAGTCGAACGATTATTTTGATAAGAGGTCTTCGTCATGCTGAATTACTGACTTCAAGTTCGATTGTTCCAGTTCTAACTGGATTAGTTCTAACTTTTATTCAGGTTTAAATTCTAGGAGTGCTGATTTATTCCCTAAATATTGGTTTCGGTCCTCGAACGGAACCAGCTGAGTTCCAGAATATCCTTAAGTTCAAATTTAGAGATAACTAGGGTTCATACCACGGGATCATTCACTAAAGACATGACCTAGTTGATCTCGTGCGCAACAATGTTAGGAAGTTTGGGATGCGATTCTCCCCGTCGAAATGCAAAATGTTGCTAAGGGATTGGCTTGCATCGGCACCTGAACTAGAAATACGAAGTGAAGTATTTCAAAGTGTCAACCACTTCAGTTATCTGGGAAGTTTCAGCGCGGATAAAGAGGGTTCGAAAGGCTCTTGCCAAATTATATCATCTATAGCATAGATGATAAACCAAAGAATCCACAACGAGCACTTCGCTTCATTCTACTTTATGGATGCGAAACCCGCTTATTAATAATAATAATATAATATATATTTATTCTCAAATAACTACGTTACAAGAGTCACTCCAGTTTACAGGCTAGATCAAACTGTCACAAATGCTTTTACAATTACTGTAAAGTTATAGCAGTTAAATTAAGTATAAGAGTCAGTTTTTGATTGCATATTTACACCAAGAGTTGCAGATATCCGTCGGTTACTGATTTTTGATCATAGGTGTCTCCGGAGCATTGCTCGTTTGCCTTGGATCTACCGAGTAAAGAATGATGCTAGGTAAGGATGGCAGATCAAGAGATGAAGTACTGAAACTTCATCAGTTGAGGTGGTTAGGAGATGTGTTAAGAATGGAAGATAGCTAGGCGCGGCCAAACAAAATCAGGGCACAAACTCACGAAGTCACTGACAAGTGAACTGACTCATGTTGGCAGACTACCTGGTTGGAATCCGCGGAACGATAGTAACCGATGGTTCGAGACCTTGAATGACATGGGTGAAAGTCGTTTTCAGTGACAGTTTATCTCACTGTGTTACACTTTTTAAATAATATCTTCAAACCCTAATCCAATCCATCGCTATTCATACTTCTACCACTATGGGATTTGAATTGACAATTGCGTCTCTGTGCTAACGTGGTATGACAACTTGAAGTGATGTACGAAGTTCTAAGTTGTAACTGACTGACATGTGACCAGTGATTCGAACGAACATCGAGTCCTTACTACCTATTCTTCGCAGCGGATAGGCATCGAAGTCACCGTAGTAACATTTTTCTGTGACCTATCGTATGGAAATCTATCCCACCGTGAAGTGCACGGTTTTATCGGATAATAGGTCGGTAAGTGAAGCACTTTGGTAGACAACCACCTCCAGAAAAAAACATCACAGACGATCTCAACTTCTTGTAAGTTTTAACAAGTTAGATCGATTGGCGATCCTATACTGTTTTTTTCCAGAGAAACAACTAAAATCTACCTAACAAGCTTTGCTATATCATAGCGATAGACAATACCGTAAATGCTTTCAACGAAACATGATCAGATTCTACCCGTGTGTCCAGTGAAGATATGTTGTCACCAACGTCGCATAAGAATCATGAGAACTCCTAAATGGGTATGTGAGCTTAAGATATGGTATCCGAACTCGATCTCTTTCAAATAGTTTCTTTTGATGCAAGAAACATGAGTCATCTACTTGAGCATAGGCTAAAGTGCCTGTTTGTTGAGACAGTTCTTAGACAAATAAGAAAAAAAACTAATGAGGTTCCAGTCATGAACGTTAGGGTTACCAAATGAGCAGCTATTAACCTCAATACACTGCTACAAACCTTTGTGGCAACTTAAGGCTGTGAGAACCTAATGCTCATGTGAATAAGTAATTATCTAGGCTCGAAAATATATCTAATTATTTATTGCATTCATAAAACACAGAAACCAGCCTCCCTGTTGCACGCGATGAGACAACGGGGTTCTTAATGTGTATAGTATCAGATCAAACAGCAGGAATTAGTTTTAAATGCAAATATGAATTCTAAGCGCATGTTTCTGTTGGCATCAATGAGTTGAATATTTACTAAGAGTAGCTTGAAAATAGCCCATTATTATTCTACAGGTACACAACACACCTACGAGGATTTAAACAAAATTAATAAGTGGGCCAAAGCCAGTAAACAACGAACAAGTTTCTGCATACTTCAGAAACAGAATTCTGGTATATATCTTTGATTCCATACGCAGCAGCTTTGATATACAGACTACATTCACCAAGAAATGTGCATATCAGTTATAACATCGGCAGTTAACAAAATAAGACCCCTGAAATTTATTTAGCTGTGTATGCTTTAGTAAGTAATAAGTTGTATATCAGAAAAGGAAGTAAAACGAATTTCATAATTACGATATATCTGAACGGAAAAGGTACATATTTACAATTTAAAACCACAAGTAAACAAAGAAATGTCAATCAAGCACTAAGCAACACAGAATTCACACCTAATTTCGAATGAGATAATACTTTAAAATTCGTGTAAACTGTTTTGATTCGTACAATTTTTGTAAGTTCGGTAAACTGAGATTCGCCATTTTTACCGGGATTAAAGGAATATTTAATATTTATATGTGAGATAAGATTTCCTAGTTTGACTGAAACGAAGAGTTACAATTTAACAGTTTTGTTAACAGCAAAAATAATAATTCATTTAGACATAAAATTATTCAATACCAATCACAATGACAGTTGTTTGATGAAGACCATTTTGTATCAGTTATTCGATATAACAATAATGCCCATAAAAACAGCCCCAAAAGATGAGAGCCAATAGCTAAAATTTGACCAGAGAAACCCCAACGATAATTGGCTCTTTCTATGGCACCTATTAAGTCTGGTAAACCGAAGAAGTTACACAAGGAGTGTGTAACAATACTTGATGCAATATTGCCTGTAAATTGAATAAGAAATATGGTAAATTGTGCATTGAAAAAGTAACCAGCAAATTAAACTGTTAGATTGAAAAAACATAAATAAGTAAACGGCCAATATTATCAAATATACTTGTAATATGACTACATGAAATTGAAGAAATTTTTCTACAAAAGGGACAAACACTTTTATATTTAAAGATATACAATATATACAAAATTAATAATTATTCAGATTCAAACTAACATATTAGTTACAACTAAGTCTGCACTAGAATATATTTTTCAATAACTTTATCGAAAGTAGAAACCTCAGTTTTCAGCCTCAAAATAAGGTCTTTTGTCAGCTCAATTTGAGACTTCGATATGTGTCTATGGTAATAATGGAGGTAATTAGTGTAAGCGAACAGTTTTGAAAAATCGATGATAACACCAGCACAATTACGCTAATAAATACAGATATTCTACACCAATTATTAAAATATTCAGTGACTAGTCCACTACGGCTTTCTGAATCAGAATCTAAATACATCTTCAGTTTTTTAATATTTGGAAAGTAACTTATCATACAATAGAGTGATCCGACAGAAATGTACAATTCATTTTTAATGAAAATCAGTAAAACATCCAGACTATAAAAGTTTTATAGCAGAAAACCTTAAAATTAAAAAAATTCTTAAGATATCATTTTTCGACTGTTTTTTTTCTATCATTTCACCAGGGTGAAAAAATTTATACTGGAAGTAATTCTGAGTGAAAATTATACAAATGAATAGAACTCAATCATTATTTAATGACTTATAGACAGATTACATAGGATGTAAATGTATATCGTAAACTTTTAACAAGGGAAGTGGGTTTTATTCTAGAAGTTACGAGTGAGTAGGAGGATTCTTCTTACGTCGAGGTTGAAATCTTGAGGTGTATTAAATGAATTGATGGCGAAAAAACAATTGTTAAAGTTATATTATCTGTCAATATATATTGTGTATCATACTCAGTTTGCACTAAAGTCAAGCCCCCAAATACTCTTGTACGGTTGAAAGTATACTTCGTTCTCGCTCTCAAAATGTTCTTATATGACCACGCGTGTATAGCTACTGTCAGGGAAGTTCTGCTCACTGTCTTCTCGTCACACACATGTTGTTTACAAAACTGAGAGTGAAAAGCTAGTGTCCGGCGCTTTAACCAGGTTGGTAGGTACAGAGGATCCACTTACAGGAGTTGGTAACGATGATTCCAGACCAATGGTGCATATGGGCTGCAGGATCCTGATGTAATGGATGGCGTATGAACCTATTGTTCTTCACTGGCTACTATGAGACAGAATCTCCTAACGTTGTTCCACTGATTGCAGAATAAACTTGTCGGTGAAAGGATCGGAAATTGGCCCCACAGGAAGACCAACTGCTTCGGGTACACAAATTTTATGATTTATGTGGCACACATAAGTTTTAGAGCCATTTAGTACCAATGTTTAAGTGCCTAAAAACATTCAGCAAATGGGCAATAATTGTCAGTCAGTTACAACGTAGAACTTCGTACATGAGTAAATAAGTTCAGATTGCCACTGTATGAACCTGATTCTCTAATACCCACTACCTAATGTTATTTTGTAGCGTAGCTTTAAAAAGCTGTCACGGAAAATTCCCAAGTTAATAATGTTACTATATGGTGCAATTACGCAATAACGTACACACAATGAAACTTACCATCCTATTGCATAGAAAAATAGAGTTGTTGAAGGGTTATATTTTACTGTCATATATCAGCCCCATAATAGATTGTATTTTTCATCACAAAATATTTACACTTACTACTAACCATGCATTTTTTTTAAATCTTTAAAATAACCTAACAAACATAAGAAGTGTACGCTATGCAACCAGAAATATATAAACTTACCAGTTCTCAACATAAGAAATCCGGAATACATTCCAAATAAAGTTGTGTAGAACACTTGGAAAACTTTAAAAAAATAAAATTACGATGAAGTTAGTTGATAATATAGTGACGAAAAGTTTATGAAAACTCCGGAGATAAATATAGAAGTCAGAATATGTTTAGATACGTTAGGTGTATTTCTGTCAGTAAAATTTACAAGAAATGAGTAAATTCAAATGACCTAAAAGCTACTTTCAAACTTAAAATAAAACCATAAATATTAAGGTAGCAAATACTATCATTTCACTGTTTACAATCAATCAGTCAGCTACAATGTAGAACTATGTACGTACATACATCAGTTCAATCGCTATACCACATTAGCACAGAGAGGTCAAATTGTCAATTCAAATCCCATAGTGGTAGTAGAATTATTAACAGTAATCAAAAAGATTAGGGTTCAAGGATATTATTCAAGAGGTATAACACAGTGAAAGAAATTTAAAAAGAGAAAGAAAAAGGTGATAAGGAATTCAGCAGATTAGGGTTTAAGAGAACACAATGAGTGGAAGAACCTGCGCCACTGAAAACGATTTTCAGCCATGCCATTCAAGGTCTCTAGCCATCGTTTACTACTGTCTATTGCCCAATCAGGTAGTCTATACCTACGGTATACAGTTTAATAGTGAACAAAGTAAACTTATGGTTATATGACTTAAAATATGCTATGTTTACCTAAGTGATTCTGCTCTTTATTCTCCCTAAGTTGAACACCTTATTACCCTATACCCATTGGTCTTCATCTTAATTTGTTTTTTATACAATTTTTAGTATTATACTCAAGCCAGTATCACTAATTTTTAATATTTCATTTTTGCTCTGATTGGTTTACTTCTATTGCAAAATATAGTGTATAGCTAACTACAGATATAGTGATTATTTATTAGTAACTTCAGAAGCTTTATGATAATTGAATTGTTTTATTATACTTAAGGTGATCATATCATAATTACTAAGTAAGTGAAATTTTAGATAATTCCGACATTTCTGCAAGTTATCTTGTCTTGACGTATTCAACATAACCGAGAGGAAATGTTGGAACTATCTAAAACTTTAGTCACTAAGATTATTTCAAATATAATTTTCATAAATAATAATTGGAAGATTAATGAGTACAGTGTATGATACAGTTTCAAGATGAATACAAAAAGAAACGATTAAACCTTTCATTAGTGTGTTAGCATTTTCAATAAAACACGAATGACTTTTACAGTTTAAAAGCCAAGTATGAATGGAATGATGATACAAAAAAATTGAATCATTTCATTGCACACAAGAACAAAAAATTGACCTCATAATACAGAATATAATAAATTATCTATCAGGTGCATTGTTTTGTCCGTAGTGTATGATAAATTCTACACTATAAAATTTATTAAATCATAAACTACTTATGTTTACTTTGCATATACACGTAAAGAAGTTTAGAAAAAATTTGATTTCCAACGGATTGGAATCTGACTGCTTATATCTAGCGGAACTGTTATGTGAAGTTAATGTGAAAAAAAAGACTGAAAAGTAGTAACATTGAAGTGAGAAAACTAGAAGGGATGCGAACAATTGAAAGTCTTTTTTACTACGTATAGTTTAAATTTTGATTAGGAAATGTTCAAGTTATGAAGGAATTTGAGAAATTGCACATTGTTTGAGCCATTATTTAAACAAGTTCGAAAAATTTCGGTAGACTGACACAAAGGGTAGAATATTCACACAAAATGTACTTGACAAGCTGTTACTGTCTCTCATTTTTACGCTCGTCAGAGTTGAAAACAGAAGAGAACCCAAAAAAGATTACAAATAGAGTCATGATTAATAGAAAACTATCCAGGAATAAATTCCTGACAACGCAGTGGAGTCAATAAAAAAAAAGCCCTGATTAACTATGAAATTTTTCTAACCACTACAGCACGAAAAGGATAAAATGAGATGAACAAGTATTTTTAACATGAACAAACCTATGCTTACCCTCCCCTCAAAGAAAGAATCCACAAGCAATTAGTTACGAACAACATGGAACCTAGCACATACTATAAGTCGATTTAAGTTGCCAAACCACATGAGCACAACTGAATGAAATAATCATGATGAACGTAAGAATAGTGGTAGTAGTAGTAGAAATAGCAACGGTAGTAATCATACTATGAATAGATTAGGCATAAAGAATATGATTCACGATGAATAGATGGATTTGCAGAATTTATTTTGAAACTCAGGATTTAAATGAAAGCAAAGAGTAAATGAGTTTGACTCATTGAAATTCGTTCTAAGCCATGTCATCTAATTAATTTCTCGATCCATTGATAGTGGTTATTAGATGGACAGGAACCAAGTAGTTTTCACCTGACAAGGTGCTCATAGTGAACGGACTCTGTAGTATATTAACTCTTTCGCTGAGTGTCAGACATCTTACTTACGTCATACGTAATGCAAGTTGACAAAGGTCAACCAGGCTTTCTGAATTAGTGCTCATATTTCGTCAGACACCAAGTCAGGGACGACCTGGCTCCCAAAATAAATCAAGTGATTGATGTGCCAAACTACTACATTGCCTATGCATGATCTTTTTAAAGACGTATACCAGTCTTGAATCAACATTCTACATTCAGAGAGGAAGGGACGCAGCCCAAACATGTTTGCATTACTCTATAAGGTACATTTTGCCAGTGTTATCAGCAAACAGGACTAGGTCACAATCACCAACACGCAAATGAACACTCTTACAAGGTATTTATCTTCCGATATGGCTTAGAACACCAGCTCTAAAGAGTGTACTGAAATGATGTTATGAATTGCATTGGCTACCTTTAGCCTATTTTTCAACTTGTAATAGCAAGCACCTCGTCTAAAAGTGAAAGATGACGAGACATTTATTCCATATGTTTCAGCTACTTCAGTTGATAAAGGTTTACAAACTCACTAAAAACAATTTATTTTTACCTTTCCTTAACGTTAACATTACTTACATGTTAGGTCCGCTTTATGTGAGCAATGCGATAAAAAATGTTATTTCTTGATTTAGGCAATTTTTGGTCGCAAGATTATGATCTTTTGTTGTAATCGGTAGCAAAATTCTTCCGTATGTAGGAATCGTTGAATTATTGTTTAACATGAGTGGTAAACCACAATAAAAATTATGTGTACAACTACTTAATTTGTTGGTGCAACGTAGCTGCTTTATTCAATACGTTACATAAATTCATGAAGACAAAAAACGGTCAGTAGAATAAAAATGAACTCACGTGAAGTTTTAAATGCAGATTGTAGATCTTGACCATTTTTGACTGATTCAAAAACATGATGAAGATGAGCTAAATGTAAGAACGACCATAACAACAACATTAAATCATCGGTGCAAACTTAATAAATATCTTATTTTATGAAAGTGAACTTTCTGTTCAACAGAGTATACAGTTTGTTAGCGCTTAAATGTGTAAATTAATTCCACTGGGATATACTTCTCTATCCCTAATCTTTGTGATAACCGCTAATACTGCTACTACCTCTACTACAATAGGATTTGAATTGACAGTTTGGTCTCGCTGTGCTAACGGATGATTAACCAGAGTAGACGATGTGTATCATGAGAAGAATAAGCTAGTAACTTCTAATAAGCCTCGACGATAACGTTTATAATAACAGTTCATCAAACCATACAATTTTGTAAACAGATTTGATACAAAACCAATTTCATAAAAATGTATGCGGTTTATTTTCAATTCAAAAAAGAGATAGTGATTTCACTTTCAGTTTGACTTGGTACGGGTTTATGCGGTTAGTAATGAACTAGATTATCCTCTGTATAAGAAACTTAGTACAACTATTTAACTTTTCAATAAAAAAAATGGTTAGGTCATAACTCTAACTTGTAACTTAACAGATAGAAGTTAACTACTTTAACCAATAAGCCATCACTTTCAGAAAGCTAATTAAATCCATTTTGGTATACGTTTCTTCTCAATATAGAAGGCGGTCAGTAATATGACAAAATACGAATCACAGTTACAAAATCCGGATTAAAATAAACCAGTAACAAAGAAAT